GAAGTAGAGTTGCTAAGCCCAACTGAACTGTTTCTGCCACAAGCTATATCAATCTTACATTCATTGCTGGAGATGCTGGTGAACAAACCAGCAAGAGTATTGGTGAGAATACAATTTACACATAAATAAATAAACAAATAAATATGTATGACTATAAAATACAGCCCTTGTTTCCTACACATGATATATTTAGAAAATACCATAGAGTTATATATATTTCATAAATGTGAGCATTCACACATACAGTCAGCTCCTAATATGCATCTACATAATATGACCTATCTCCATACTAATACAAATATAGGTCGCCAGTTTATACCAGAGGCTTGGTGGCAGAAGTCAGGATTTGGAAATCAGAAATAACCTAACTATCTTGAAGGGACACTCCAGGCACCCAGACCACTTCTGCCCATTGGAGTGGTCTGGGTGCCAACTCCCACTACCCTTAACCCTGTAACTGTAAATATTGCAGTTTTCATAAACTGCAATATTTACCTTGCAGGGTTAACTCCTCCTCTAGTGGCTGTCTACTAGACAGCCACTAGAGGGCACTTCCGGGTTTATAGCACAGATTTTCTGTGATATAGCGTCGCTGGACGTCCTCTCACTGTGTGAGGACCACCTGCATCGCTGAAATCCCCATAAGAAAGCATTGAAAGCATTTTTCAATGCTTTCCTATGGAGAGGTCTAATGTGCGTGTGCGTCACTACAGCGCATGCGCATTAGGTCTCCCCCACCGGATGACGTCGGCGGGGGTGGACCCTGAACCAGGGCCAAGGGACATCGGCCCTGGATACAGGTAAGTCACTGAAGGGGTTTTCACCCCTTCAGCAACTTGGGATGGGGGGTGGGAGGAAGAGGGGACCTGCAGTACCAGGAAAATGGTTTGTTTTTCTGGCACTGAAGAGTCCCTTTAAAGAAACACTCCACACCACACTTGCTGTGGTGCTTTAGGAGTTATTAAACTGTCCACACTTCGTCACTGTATTTTTAGAGAAATTAGCATTTTTATAATGTGACAAGGCTCCACCGTCTCCGTTGTCAAACAGCCAGCTGGGAAAGTGCACTTTTTGATTACTTTGTGCCTTTAAAAACATAAATAAAGGCAATGCTTCATGCAGAAAAGTGCAGTGCGCACACTGTACATGCAATGCATGGATCAGGGATAAGCAACCTTCGGCACTGCAGATGATTTGGATTACACCTCACATGATGCTTTGCCAGCTGTTAGAGCATTGTGGAAGATGTAGTCCACAACATCTGGAGTGCCTCGAAGGTTGCCTGCCTCTAGTAGACTGTCACACAAGTGTTCTGTCTCCCAATGGTTCTCTATGAGAACTCGACAGACTACCTGACAGCGCTGACAGTGCTGGTTAATCGGTGTTTTAAACCAGCACTGTTTATTTTAAGATCTGAATATCACATTATGAAATCTTTGCACTCTTTATCTAATTATTTGATTAATTCTATTTGGATGGATTTTGGGCACCGTTCTAGAAGTCGACCAATCAGCATTAACATTCCTTTGGCTTCTAAATTGACAGCTCTACTTGAGTTGAGTGTTGGAAAAAGGTTAGCCATGTGAAACTAATGTTTTTAATATTGAAGAAATGGGTTGAGTGTTTCGTTCTATTGGGATCTGGTTGCTATTAGATTTGACGCTCACGTCAGGATTTTAAGAATCATGCTTGCACGTGAGTTCCCTCAGCACATTAATTTATGTTTCAATGAATTTACTCAGAGGCTTCGGTTTTTCATATAAAGCAAAGTATCATGTTTAATTAAAAATACTTATGGTCATGACCTCCAACTATAACATCATTTATCTCATCTATTGTAAACGTATTTTTCTTTTATTTAATGCAGTCATCAATATCTATACACTACTATTTTAGAATGGATATAGATTGTTTTATTAAATATCTTAAAATTAGCTTTAAATAAAGAATACTTTGCCAAATGATAAATCTACTCTGTAACAAAAAACAAAAGTTTATTGAGGGTATAATCACTAAACAGTAAATTGTAGAAAACTGAAATTTGTATGGAAACATTTAGATAAAAAATGTTAATCTGGATTATTATATTTAATCCCACATATAGTCCCAGTGTATCTATTTATCCTAAATTTTGCCAGTTGGGTTTTAATAGAAATCCGAGTTTAGTTAAAAGCCCTCTAGGTTATTTCTGTTTGAAATAATTATTTTGCATTGTTTAAAAAAAATAATCCAATTTCTCTGTAAAATAATTTTACAGCCTATCTCGTTTACAGGTGATGACAGGCATTGAGTCTACAACGATTTGATTTACACCAAGCTACATCAATACATGAACTGGCAATTATTTTTTTTCTTGGACTCAAGAGCCCTTATACACACTTATATGCAAACTAAAAAAAAAAAAAAAAAGATTGCTTTTAATAGTAAAGGCTTTTCACATCTAGGGGCTTCTATCAAAAGACCACTATGATCCACATTGTCTAATATTTTAGTTGTTTTTTTATTTTTATGTAAAACTAAATTTCTTTTTCATTTATGTAAAACAAAATTTCTATGTAATTTAGGTGTATAACATTCGTTTTCTTGTTTGGAGGTGAAATTACACTATAATTATATTTTGCGGTATTATTGGAATAGAATAAACCTGAGTTCATTAAAGAGTAGAATCTCCTATTTTAGCTCTTATCCCATTTTTAAATTGTCTGTATGCATTACCATCCGAGTTCCCACTTTAGGAATACAAAAATACAGTCATTATATTCTAAGCATCCTTTTACGCTAACATACATCACCTCTGGGGAGCCATTCGTTTTGACCACTGGTGTTTGAAAACACACTGGGGGCCAACATACCATATGTGCATTTGATAATATAGGTTTTAATCTTATATTTATGCTGTGTTTTTCTTCTCATTCAAATTCTTTCATTTTGTTAAAAAAACAAATTAAATAAACTTTTTTCTGTTGCATAACCCACCCCTTAATCTTGCCTTCTCCTTTTTATGTACTGAGTGTATACTTACCTCAGCTGAGTGATCGATGTGAGCTGAGTGACATGACTCCACCCCACAGCCAATCACTCTCCACTTGTTATCTACTCCCTTTCTCTTAGCACAGCTGAGCTTTGAAATACTATATTAATAATTAGAAGATGTTGATTGGCTGTACGGCAGAGACAAGCTAGCAGCTTACCTCACACTGATCTTGCTGATCCAGGTTGTGTTCCTTTAAATCAGAAAGACATTTTTAAAAAAATATGAGGCATGGCTAAGTGAGCAGGGTTATGCTAACCTAAAGATATTTGAAAATGGAGAAAACCACAGCATGAAAACAAGGCCAAAATAGAGCATTTAATGGTTTACTCCAACCAAAAAACAGTGTTTTCATAAAACACTGACTTTGGTTACACTTACACTTTCTGAGGTGGTCCACCACCCCAAACTTACAAAACAAAACAAACACTACTAAAAGTAACCTCAGTTCAAGTGTTAATGACAAGTTCTCCCTGAAGCCCAATCCTCCTCAGCTGAAGTCACTCTCCCTCGCTAGAGGGAGGTCAAGGAGGACATACTGAGAGAGGACAGAGGAGGCATGCTGCCGTTGGCTTTTTGGCGCAAGCAGGCTGTGCATTCTACCATCAGAAGCCAATTTGCACATTGACATTAACGAGCCCGGAACTTTGTTCCAAGCTGGCTAATCACTTGGCCAAAAGTGTAGTTACAAGTCCAGCGGCTAAAGGGCTCATCTCTGTGTTTGCAACATGTTACACAGACTCCAGGCACCATGACCACGTCCATTCAATGAAGTGATCATGGTGCTTGGAGTAAGCCTTTAAGCTGTGTATTTTTTAAATCTAATCCTATTTTTCTATAATATACAGCATTAAATCTTTATTTATGAACATCCAATATGGGGCAAAATTCTAAAGATGGACAAGTTGCTATGAATATTCTATTACCTTCAATGATGACTGCCCCATTTTAGACCTTTACAACTAGCCCTTTATATGCATCTATATATAAAAACAGTGAGCGTAGAAATAAAGGACTACCTTGAGATGTTTGGGCCTTAAACAGATTTTATCTACAAATAAACTGTAGGAGAAAACAACATCAATAAACAAGGTCTAAACTAATTTTTTAAAAGATGGAAGAATATAACCAGGAGTAGGAAACAAAACTCCTTTTTTTCTTCAAACTACCTTTTCCATTACTGTTTCTTTTCACACCTCTTTTTAGCCTCCGTTCCCATCTTCTTTCATCTGTACGTTACGTGTACTTTCCCTTTAATTTTTTTCCTCAGTTTCCAGTGAAAACTGATATTGGCTTACATATTATTATACCTAAACCAGCTATCACGCTTTCAGTATTGAGGTTGATTGAGTTCCTGGAATGATGTCATAGTGCACGGCTGACTGATAACAGCCCATCAACATGGCATTGTTAACTAAAAAATGTTGCTTTTAATACACACTTTTTTTTTATTTTTTTTATTTCGAACTAGCCACTGCAAATAAGCAATCACATTGTGGAGCATCTTTTGCAATTTCCCAATGAGTTATGGCTGGAACAGATAGACAAACAGACATGTTTTATTATTATAGATTAAAATCAAATTGAAAACTTTTAGTCTGGGAGCCTAAATATAAAGAACATGCCTACCTATATAACATAATTCACTGTTACACTGAAGATTATTACAAACGATAAGTAGCTTTTGTACTTGCTAGTGCCAAGCTGGAAACCACAAAGCATAATTCTACCCTTAAAAATGGAGACAAGAAGTCTGTAGAGATTCTCTGCCCTAGAGTGACTCTTGAAAAACCACAAATAGGTTCCAGATACAAAAATATACACAGGTAACATGTGATGTTTATATTAGCAACGTTATCTTTAATATACAGTATTTGGACATTTATATATCTGTACCACTGGCTAGACTTACAAATAAGCACAGGCATCATGTATAAGACCCCACTCCACAATTTATTTAGTACTCAGCTCCAACATGGAGCTTTCATCAGGACAGGTAACATGTTGATGTTACCTGTCCTGATCAAAGCTCCATGTTGGGGCTGAAACATTGATATTTTATATGGAATAAATAAAGCTACATTTTATTTACCTGTCCTGATGAAAGCTCCATGTTGGAGCTGAAACGTTGATATTTTATATGGAATAAATAAAACTAAATTTTACTACTTCAACCAAGTCCCAGGAGTGTGATTGTTTGTACACCCATATATATATATATATATATATATATATATATATATATATATTAATATTGATATTCATATTCATATTGATATATGCTTTAATTTGCGAAAACACTTGTACCTCCAAGAAAACCACTTTATAAGTGATCTCACTTTCATAAATCTACATGTCAATGTTCTCAGGCAGTAAGTACATGATTTGAGTGGATTAGCTATCCTGTTCTGTGCTATTCTAAGCATCCCATGGATTAAACCAGTTACTCTCGGTGTCTTCAAGAGCTGCCTGTGACTCCCTAGCTGCAGGTTGAGTATCACTGCTTGACAGTATTTGACTGCACCAGTCACGGAAGCTTTATTTTTCTCTTTGCTGTCTCTCTGCAGTTACACTGTAGTATTCTGAACTCAAGTACTAAAACAGTATTAAAGAATAAATGCCTCTTCTAGGTATGCCATCCGTGGTTCTCTCTACATAAGACAGGATAGAAAGCTGCATACTTCTAGGACACACAGCAGACTGTTACAATGTTGTTGCATTAAATGCATGCTGTATCTAATGGTTTCTGATTCTAAGCATAACATACATACCCCCTCCATTATAACTCAGGAGTAACCTGATTAAAATTTGGCAATGGACTAGATATTCTGGCAGTGGAGCACAGACGATCCTGAACATTATGACACACAGGAGCAAGGCAGCAATCAGGTTAAAGTGGCCCAGGAGGATACTGTGTAAAATGAAATGGTATTTCTAGTTTATTATTCATTGGAAACTCAAATTCAAAGAATATAAAATTATACGTCTAACAAGTAAAGTGGTCAGACCTCCGCTTTAAAATGTAGCATGGTTCTAATAATGTGACAGGTAGAACTCTGCATATGGACAGGAAGCATGAGGTTCCTGAGGCTATAGTAAGTACAGAATATTTGACACATTTGTTATAAAGCTCAGCAAAGCATACCAAAACTAACAGGGAAGTACAGGGCACATGGATATATTTAGGATTCCACCTTCTTCCATTAGCAAATCCATGTATCCCTGCTAATTGTCTTCTAAAACACAGATCTTGCTGATCTGCTATGCCTATTGATCTGCTTTGCCAAACGTCCCACTGGGCCATTAAAAAGAGGCAGCATGTATGGTTGATGAGAAAGAATGACAATGAAGTTCTTTGGATGCCACCACTCTCCACCAGTTGGTTGTCCAGACGTAGCCAGACTGGAAATCACCACTGATTGAACCTACATCTATAACTACAACAGTAAGAGTTACCATCTCATGAACCCAAATCTATGTTTTCTAACGTCTTCTGAATTACCTATACTTTCAACACAGGCAGAGCATTAAAGGGACACTATATGCACCAAATCTACTGTAGCTTAATGAAGTAGTTTTGGTATACATTACCATTTATGAAACCTCAGTCACTATATATTTCCTGAAAAATAGCTTACATTATTGCAAAGTGTGTTTAATTCAGAATTTCTTATTTCCCGCTTTGCTAATAACCTGGTAGAGCCTGTGACAGCCTTCTGTGTGTTTAAAGTGCATTTAAACATCTAAAGTAAACACACTGTGCTGAAAGTTCTTATTGAATATAAAAAGTTTTTCATGCAGGCTGAGTGAGTCGGTCAGGAGGGGGTATGACTAGGAGTGCATAAACATAAACATAAATGATTTATCTACTAAATTGCAGAGAATTACGCAGTGAGATGGCAGACGCATGATATATACATTAAAACTGCTTAATCAAGCTAAACTAAGTTGTTTTGTTGCTTAGAGCATAATTTTCTGTGTGAATCAAAACACAAAAGCAGAGGAAGACAAGACCATAGCTCAAATGGGATCAGGGGCCAATAGAACACAAACAGCATAGGGAAGTTATAGAGAGTCAAGGTCAGGGTCAACAAAGGTTTAAATAGTAAACGTTCTACTAGACAGTCTTTAAATCCATACCGTCCTTATAAAGTACATAGGAATATTAGAGAGAATATCTGCTCTAGGCATTTTGCTCTGCAAGGTTATCATGTATAGACACAGCTATAGTCAGACCTGGTGTATTTTACAACCTGCCTCTGCATTTTAGGCAAACGGCTGGAGGCACAATTAAAGAAATTCTGTTATCTAATACAAACAACCCCTGGAACCAGTGCAAAATAAATTAAATATATCTGTAACCAGGACAACATGCATTGTTTTACTCAAAATTAAGTTAATACCTTGACCTATAAATAGGTTAAGCAGTAACCTAGCTGGCCTGATGATGACTATCCTTGTTTTTTTCACATTCACTTCTTTCCCCTATCGACCAATTTCTCTGTTCACTTTCACACCTTGCCTCTTAATATCCCTCCCCTATTATTTCTTCTTTTGTCCCTTTTCTTAAACCCAGGGTCACTTTACTTCTATTCAAATATGCTGTCTGTTCTGTAAAGAACAGCTGGGATGGAATATGTGTATGGTATTGTTCCACTTATACATTATATTATATGATTATATTTCCATTTTAAAAAAATTTTAAATTATATATGTGCCTTGTTTACATGGTATTCGTTGTCACTAATAGTTATCACCTATTACTCACTGCGATAATACCGTTTCTATTTGCAAAAAAGTCATAATAAAATACTAAAAATAGTCAGTACAAACAAAATAAATATTGTCTTTTTTAAATTAAAAACATTCATTTTATTTGTGAAATTGTGTCACTAACATTTGATGAGAATAAAGGACACAAATCGCGTCTCTACAATAGCATCACATAGATTTACATGTATTTCTGTGTTCTCCAGTATACTGTTGCTGAAGTCTTTTCTTTCAATGTATTTAATACACCAAAGCACTCCAAGTCTAAGAACATTATTAGTTTTGATTTGGAAAGTAAAAAAAGATCTTATTGAGTAATTGTCAGTTTTCATGGTGTTTATATAATTTTGGATCAATAAACTTCATGCCCATAACACCAAAGAATAATCTAAACATTCACGAAAACAGCAGGTCAGAATTTTCATGTTGATCCAATAAAAGATATTACTTATCTACCCAATAAGCCGGTTTTCTTTCAGTCACTTGAAATGCTTGCGCTGTTTGACATTAGTCAGAATCCTGATACAATTTAATGCTTATACACATTGACAATATGTCGAAATTAAGCTAATGACTGACAAACAAATCTGAAGCTAGGACAGCCACGTTTATTAATAATGCTATCTTTTCAGCAATAGATGTTCCAGGACAGCTATATAATAGATGTCTTGTAATGTTTTAGCTCAGGGGTGTCACAGAGCAGATATCTAGCTGTTGCTGGACTACAATGCCCATTAGTTCCTGCTAATAAAAGCAATGGGATTGCAGTTTGGTATGATCCACCTTAGCTTTTTACAAACTGTGGTACTGTCTACCCATCGGCCAGTTTTCATTATTCCATTGATAAGAGAGACTGTGATAATGTCTTCCTATTGTACGGTTTTCATTATTCCACTGATAAGAGAGACTGTGATACTGTCTTCCTATCGGCCGGTTTTCATGATTCCACTGATAAGAGAGACTGTGATACTGTACCTGTCGGCCGGTTTTCATGATTCCACTGATAAGAGAGACTGTGAAACTGTCTACCTATCGGCCGGTTTTCATGATTCCACTGATAAGAGAGACTGTGATACTGTCTACCTATCGGCCGGTTTTCATGATTCCACTGATAAGAGAGACTGTGATACTGTCTACCTATCGGCCGGTTTTCATGATTCCACTGATAAGAGAGACTGTGAAACTGTCTACCTATCGGCCGGTTTTCATGATTCCACTGATAAGAGAGACTGTGATACTGTCTACCTATCGGCCGGTTTTCATGATTCCACTGATAAGAGAGACTGTGATACTGTCTACCTATCGGCCGGTTTCCGGTTTTCATGATTCCACTGATAAGAGAGACTGTGATACTCTCTACGTATTGGCTGGTTTTCATGATTCCACTGATAAGAGGGACTGTGATACTGTCTACCTATCGGCCGGTTTTCATGATTCCACTGATAAGAGAGACTGGGATACCTATCGGCCGGTTTTCATGAGTCCATTGATAAGAGAGACTGTGATACTGTCTACCTATTGGCCGGTTTTCATGATTCCACTGATAATAGAGACTGTGATACTGTCTACCTATCGGCCAGTTTTCATGATTCCACTGATAAGAGAGACTGTGATACTGTCTACCTATCGGCCAGTTTTCATGATTCCAATGATAAGAGAGTAGCCTTTCATAGTTTTTCCTGCTAAAAGTGATGGCTAGCATTTTGGTATTCCAATTGCCAGCATTATGGTCCAATCATTGTCTTGGGAAGATAAAACATGATTTAAACTTTAAATTAAAAAACTGTCTTAAAAAGAAAGTTAAAAGGTTTTGTAGACATGTATGAAGACACATATGTAATGGGCAAATATGGACAGAGCTAGGAAAGCATTTGAAAATGTTCTCTGTAGTCCAGCATTTTCAAATTTGAATTGTAGAAATGTGTCTTATCTGCCATATGGTAACTACAGCTTGAACAGCAATCTTGCATGATGGTGAATGGTAGAGATATGAATCATATGTAATCAGTGAGTGCTGTCTCTTGGACAATTCAGTGCCATGTCACATACATCATATGTTAACTTGTATCTGAACTGAGGAATCAGTGAACACAGAGTGTCAGTACAGTATGCAGTCTGCATCCATTGTATCCAATTGTATAGCGTATCATTTCTCCCACATAATTTTTCTCCAAACTAACTATAGTTAAAGCTTGGAGATTAGCCTAAAATTCAATACAATTCTTTATTTAATGAATACCTCCTGGGGTCCTTTTAATATCCAAAATATTATCCTCATCAATGTGAATTAATAATAGTGTGCTCAATAATTATTGAACAACCACAAACAACAATGACCTCATATATTAA